GATCTGTACTTCATGGATCGTCTCGCTAATTATCACAGCTTCTGGTGGGTTCCCTGATGACACCACAAACCCACAATACCAAGCGCGYACAGACAGCAGAATACAAGTTTTAGAGCAGGCCGAGTGGTTCAGAATACCATACCCAGGTGAGTGTACTTAATGTATTGTAGAAAATTGGGAGTTAAGATCATGAGTCACGATTGCGAGTGACGTGACATTTGCGAGTTACAATTACGAGTTACAATTGCGAGTTACGATTGCGAGYTACGAGTATTTTCAGTTCAAATGKTCGTTATTTTTAGGTCAATGGGGATTACCTACCGTCAGTGCGGCTGCTGTCCTGGGCATGATATCAGGAGTGATTGCTTCCATTGTTGAGTCCATTGGAGATTATTTTGCTTGTGCGCGCATGTCAGGAGCACCACCACCGCCGACCCATGCAATAAATCGTGGAATAGGAATGGAGGGTATTGGTTGTATTATAACCGGWTGTTGGGGAACAGGAAGTGGAACAACTTCTTACAGCGAGAATATCGGAGCCATAGGTAAATTAACAGCCACAACATTATAGTCGATTATTCAAAGTAAATGCAAAAATTTTACTAACGAGTTAGTCTGTCTGTCTGTCTGAAATTTCTCTGTTTATTTTCAGGTATCACGAAAGTAGGTAGTTTGCGTGTCATCCAAGTAGCAGGATGTGTTGCTTTAGTCATGGGCGTGGTCGGCAAGATAGGGGCGTTGTTTACCACCATTCCTGATCCTATAGTAGGCGGTGTATTTATGGTGATGTTTGGTATGATTACGGCTGTTGGTATATCTAATTTGCAATACGTGGATATGAACAGTGCAAGGAACATGTTTATTGTTGGTTTATCGATTGTATTTGGTATGGCGCTGCCGTTCTACATGAAAAGCCATCCTAAAGCCATCCAAACAGGTACCCATTAAAATGAACGCTTGAGACTATGAAATATACTCTAGTATAGAAACTGTCTTGCTCTTTGTGGAGTTAGAATCCCTCGTTTTTTCCTAGAAGAGGGACAATGTAAATTTATCCTCTTGTCGTTATCGGGTGCATGTCCCGACACCGGGATGCACCCTCATTCTCATCAACTTCTAGGGTTCAATAGCCATTCTTAATACGATGTTTTATTAAGGTGATGATGAAGTCGATCAAATCTTGAATATTCTGCTGAAAACCAATATTGCAGTTGGTGGATTGCTGGCGCTTCTTCTTGATAAYACTATCCCTGGTWCTAAGAAAGAACGCGGCCTGATTGGCTGGAAACAGCACCCCGACGAAAGTGATGAAAACAAAAACTCAGGTATGTTTTTTTGATGATTTGAAAATACAAATATTACTTATTTATTGTCAACTGCATAAAACAATCTTAAAAAATACACAATAAAAAATTTCAAGAATCTTGGAAAGGATTTTCGAATTATGCAGGTCTATTCGTACTGGCGTTGTGTCTTATCACTGATGTACTTTATTTTGCAGATGGTGAATTTGAAACAGCGAGCATCCATGTGTACGATCTTCCATGTTGTCTCAAGGGCTTGGGGTATCGATACTTCTCCAAGTACATCCCATTCCTGCCTTACTATCCAGATAATACTGGAAACGAAATCRAAGCAACTTCTAGTGGTGTCGATGTGCAACTGGAACAGATGTCTAATGGTAAAACTTTCTAATATTGCATGTTATTAAACTTATAAACTACTGAATTTAACCCATACATTTTGCTAATGATGTGATAAGGTGGTCAAGATGGACCGCTAATGGGTATATTACGCATGCTCCAGYATATCCCACATGGCTAAGCGACTCATGTCTCGTTTCTATTTTTGTAGGTAATCAAGCTGTTTCTAACAACGATCTTAAGGTCAACTACAATGCGGAGATTCAAGAAAATCACCACAGCCCTAGAATATATCGGACTAATACTCAGTTGTAATTAAACTGGACAAATTTAGCTTGCAATCAAATTATCATTGTATTTAATTGATGAAATGGATGCAGGCAAAATCTGCTTATATGAGAATATTAGACACAGTTTATAATTAATTTTTGATTAGTGATCGAGATTGGATGAGAACGACAATCTCTAGTCTCCTCTCGGAGCCGTTAGGACGTTCGTTCCCAGGTCAGTGCCCACTAGCCGCTGTAGCTAGGGGGAGTGACCTGGGAACCAACCTTCTTAACGGCTGAGAGAGGAGAGTGACAATCTCTTCTGTTCGCGAAACATGATCATCAAAAGAATCTATTATTATCCATAGCAATACTTGTGATACTGAAACAATAGAAATTGTTCATCGACGCCATTTTGCAGAGCAAAGCCTGGCTGATATTTTACACGTTTTATTTCATTTTATTTGTAACTTTGGGGGAAATGAAAAAAAAAAAAGATAAAATAAATAAATAAATTAAAGAATTTTTTGAGGAGACCACTTATGGTGTCTCTTGTTCCTGCCTCAAAGCAGCTTTTTAAGTTCGGATGGAATTTCAAATAGTGTTTGGTTTTATTCATGTTGATTTTCATTAAAGGTGTAATAAAACCCCTGTGGTACTGCGTTAATTAGCTTGAAAACAAACACGTCTTCTTCATTTAAGTTTTGTTTTTAAATCACAAAATAACGGTAGAGATCGAAGATAACAAATTTGTATTTAGAATTGATGTTAAATAATAATTTTTGGTGGGAATTGAGGAGAGTCCGCAGTCAAGAGTATTATGAAGTAAAACAGAAGATATTAGGAAAGGAATATCATTGATATCATTAGTGGCAGCTAATATCACTAATAATGGTAATGAAGCTAATTATATTGGAAGTGACAGAAATAGTCAATCATCATCGGAAGGCGAATTMTACTATTATTTTGGGATTCCTTTTTTTAAAAGTTGAGTGGGCATGGGGCCCCTTAAAATAGCGAAACAATAGAGATGATATCTGTGTAATGATTGTTGGTAAACAGCCGTACCTGTTCTTAACCAGGAATAAGAATTATCGTACTAAATAGAATAAATATCTAGTATTGATTATCAAAGAATATGATGCATGCATGACTTTATGCATGATGCTGTTTATTGGCGATACCCGCGGTACATAGTGCTARCAAAAAGATTATCGTTAATAATAAAATGTTAGTACTGTATTATTGCAGCGAACTCTGAATGCATTTTACGAGGGAAATACCACTTTTAAATGAATTGAAGTTCTTCGCTATCAATTCATACTATTAATTATTGACCGTCCCAAAAGTCTTTAAAAGTCGATCGTCATTTGTTACTAAGGAGACATAGACAGATGTTATGTAAATCTGCGTACATACAGGATACATTTTGATGGTTTTAACTCGGGCTATAGATTATAGTTACTCTGTTCTAAAMAAATATTTCCCACAAACTGAAAAACTATTTGTTAAGACATATAAATAGATGTAGAGCATCTATGTGGAATATTTATTGCAGTGGAATAATTATTACTGGCAAATTCATGCATAACAATGGGATCTTCTCCAGCTCTTGTAAGTAAACACAATCTGAACTTATTTCCAAAAGTTTAATATTATTTTATTGTAAAGTATAAAGATCTTTCAACAATTTGAACTGCCTATTTTGTGCTCTTAAATAAAAATATTTGAAATAAACAAAATTATGATATCTGCGATTTCTGGACGGTAATCATAACGATAACTTGTTGTGAGTTTTTCTTGTCGAATGTTAAAGTATTTTTTTTTTGTTTGTTTGTAGATATTGACATTGTTAATCGTCCTCTTTCAAATACATCATTCCGAAGGTAAACCATTTTTGTTATTGGTAGTAATGTTACTTATAACCCGTTTAATCAATACCAGAAAATATTGTTGTGAAATGGTTTAGWACACCTCATTAGTTAGTAATACACAGAACCTTTGCGTTGAATCCTAGAAGAGAAAATGCGAATGTGTTAAAAGAGCGATAAGCGAGTTTAAGAGATTGTTAAAAACGAGAAGTAAGTCTCAACAGGTAAAAAAATGTGAGAAGTTGATGTAAAGAGAACTGAACGCGTAGGATGACAAGTGAATATTACAGGGCGGTTCAATGCATAGCGCAATATTCCCCTCAAAAGAATCAGAAAGATCCAAAGGTAGCGGTATGTTATTAGCACATTCAGTATTGAAAATTGAAAAACAGTCATAAAGYAGCTGTAGTAGTTTGTGAATCAGTGGATCTATTAGATTGTCACTGCCTCATTTGTGTGAGAAGGCTGCAGTTGTTWTGATGACTATTTGTCAGYAGTTGCACTTCGTAAACAAGAAAGTATACTTCACACAGTGCWATAGTTACAAATCGACCAATTTGCTAATGAAATGATACAAGTAGAGTAACTACCATGGCTTTTGAAGAAGCTCTAAATCATCCTTTCAGCCGTGAAAAACAAAAAGTTGAGCTTTTTTATTCATTACATCATTGGTTCATCGGTGAAATGCGTCAGAAGTTAGGCTAACAATACAATCACTTTCTTTAAGAATACTCAATCGAGTATTCTTCAAGACTGACATTTTTAATGGGATTCTATATTTGTTATAGTTAGTAAAATGTCATGAAAGAAGGCTTAGTAAAGCTTGTCCATACTCGTGGCAAATGCGTAAACATGAAAAAAAAAAAAAAAAAAAAAAAAGAAAAGAAAAGAAAAGAAAAAGAAAAAGAAAAAGAAAAAGAAAAAGAAAAAAAATGAAAAGAAACCAACAACAGCAACAGGCAAGCAAAACCTTGAAGAAAAAGTAAAACAGTTTAACAACGCCATGCAATTCATTATAAATTTCCCATCATGATAATCTTATTATGGGCAGCATTTATTGACGTAGAAAAAGAAAAAGAAAAAAAAAATGAAAAGAAACCAACAACAGCAACAGGCAAGCAAAACCTTGAAGAAAAAGTAAAACAGTTTAACAACGCCATGCAATTCATTATAAATTTCCCATCATGATAATCTTATTATGGGCAGCATTTATTGACGTTTTCGGCTTTTTCCATATCTTGTCTTCTCGCTGAATACTGTTTTTTTTTTCTACTTAGGTAATTAGCATTTCTTTGTGAATATTGTGATATCTTTCAATAATTATTTACAATTCATGCTGACTAACTATGGATTATCCAGTTCTTTTCATATTTTTTAGTTTTTTTTTTCACTCCCATTTTTTCATAAACTTGACTGTTGAGCGCGAAACAACAAAAAGAAAATTTTGTTTCTAATMAAGTTTTCATATTTTTTTTTACAGCCTGTAACAATACCTTTTATTTTGACGGTTCCTCAAGGGGAAAATTAATTTTTAAGTGCTTTTTYAACCTTTTTTATGCTGTTCCAATCATGTTTATTTTGCATACTTTTGATGAATATAAAAATAGCCAGTATAATTTTGAACACTATTTCTGTCCATCGTTACGTCTTGTTGTGWGTTTTGTGTAATTTGAAATATTGTGTAATATGTATATTGTTGATGTATAATAATAATAAGTGGTCGATCAAAGTGATTAAAAATAACGAAAATAAGATAAATAACATAATTGTATCTCTCACACTCATTCCTTTGGTATTACATGTCTGTCCGGTTCAGACGGAGTTTCAATCGGAAAATCGTGACYGAGAATGGCAGAACCCAAGTTAATGCAATATTAATAAATCCTTCCAGAAAAAAAGAGTGTTTCATTTGTRMATATCTAAAACCTYTCTTGCTTGCAAGTGATGATAATAGCCCGTAGGCAATAGTTAACAAGTTCTCGAACATACACCCTTTGTTCTTAAGAATCAACAGTCCTGTCACAAACGAATATYTAACAAAAAACCTCATAGAGAACTATGAAAAGAGTTAGGGTTCAACTTAAATAGTTAAAGCTAGTAAGGTTTGTCGTATCATCAAAATTCATGCTTGTTTTCTTATCGATTGATTGAAACATTTTTCGGTTGAATAAAACGTTTATTATGCGTAATTATAAGCAATGACGACATCGCTAATTACGCGAGCCTTTAGATGCCAATATCTCTATAATTTTTTGGATAACTACCTCAGTTATACTGGCTTTCAGTATGAACAATGTTTCTTTCACTATAGCGGGCTAACRGGATATGTTATGGTGATTCTTAGAGTAGTAGTATGTAAACAATTTGTTAAAATATCTTCATATCGCATCATTAATATTTAATATTTTTTTTAAATAACACCAGCAGTTCCTATTTGCATTTCTCTCTCTTTATGGGCTTAAGATGCAATCATTCCAAACACACGTCCATTGTCAAGATTCACATGATTTGCCAGTCATGATTTTGTAAAAAAAAAACCCTTCCCAGCGGTCCTTTTCGCCGCGCGGCGTACTTTGTTTTCATGGAATGACAATTTGAGAGTCAATATTAAAACTCACTTCGTAAAATGCGGAAAGTTTTTTTTATAAATAAAATTCATTAAGTACGGCTTACTTGAGTAAATTGTGTTATTTTACTAACATCGAATTGACAACTGGAACTGTGGACCATTCTATAGACATTATAAAGCGAGTATAAATTGAACATCGCWGAAATGACCAGGTGTTTATTTATCAGCTCGTCTTTGACGACAAATTAAAAAAATCTTGTTTAATGAGATAGGAACTCTRACTGTGCTTTCAATCAATGTCTTTCGATGTTTTGATCGTTTTTCGTGTTTCTTTTTRGCTTTTCTTCCCATCTTTATTTTCACATATAACTTTTTGTCAGTACGTTTATTTAATCAATATAAGTTCATATCAAAACATTATAGAAAAGTCTCAATAAATAAATAAAAATAATAAATATTTAGCATTATAGATATTATTCCTAACAGGGGAGAATCCTARRTTATTTCGATTGGTGCATCTGATAWCATTAACGCCACAGCAGTGTGAAGCGATATATAATTGATGGTAGCAGTCAAATTCTACACTGTTACTTCCGTAACGTGTTATTTTTTATTAGTATTTTCAGGTAAGAATAAATAGAACACAAACTCTTACATATTCGTTCCTGACTATTCACCCCCTCCCCCCCTCTCCAGTGATGATATTTAGTATCCGTCGCTACCCAATATTATATTTGTAGTCCAATCAATATTTACACTATCGACCACTATCCTGCTAATAYACTAGTGAAAGTTTCTCACGGTGTTCTTATTACGCACTTCTTCATCGTTTATTTATGCGGTGTATTCCTAAAAAGATAAWAAAATTGAATTCACCATACAAACTCAATCAATGGCTATTTCATTTGCAGGATCATGCGGTAGTTGTACTTTCCCGGRAACCTGCAGCAAACTAAAGTGTTGYMAARCAAWTGATCGCATGTTGGGTAGATGTCTCAAAGGTATATCCTATTTATAGTCAAACCAAAATAGTAGAAGTAGTAAACGAGTACTTTTAGCATTCTGGGTAATTTAGCAAAAAGTAACTTTTGTTTTTTTTATTTACTCGCAGATAAAAGCACGGATTTCAAAACGGTGTTTACAAATAACTTACCTGATTCGCTCTGGACACTAGATAGCAATCTGCCCAATGATAAGATCATGTCGGGTAAAACAGCAGACTCCTCAAGCCCTTTATCTTCTGTTGATAACGGCATCCAGGGAAAAGCTGTACAATTGAAGGGAAATGTAGCACTAAGACTCTCAGATTACAAAGACGAGTGTTTGGTTAACAATTCTATGGCCCTTACTGTTAGTCTATGGTTGAAATATGGCAACTCCACATCAGAAAACCAGACCTTTTTCACGCTTGGTATTTCAAATATATTCTATATATTTTTCACATTTTATATATACTTTATTTATATTGCTGTTAGCTGCCTGTGAGCTATTGTRAAATTCTCAGAATGTTTTCTGGGTATCACATAACAGATGCAAAAGTGCAAGTGTTTGTTCTGACCACTATTTTATGATTGTTATGTCATAGGTAAGGATACCACAACAGACGGAGGAGACAGACTACAAATATCCCAACCAAATAAAACTCTCGATGAGGTTGGAGTGCTACTCAATTCTGACAGGGGGAGACTGTTTTTGCGATTTCCCTGCCCGTGGAATATTTGGTCACATATTGTTGTAACTTGGAACAGCACAGAATCTTTTGTCATCTACAGGTACATAATGCATTATAGTAATATAAGCAACTCGCTCAAAAACGTGGTACACATAGCACTTGATTTTGATCATCCGACTACGACGAGAGAA